CCCAGCTACTCAGGAGGCTGAGGCAGGAGAATTGCCTGAACCCAGGAGGCGGAGGTTGCGGTGAGCCGAGATCGCGCCATTGCACTCCAGCGTGGGAAACATGAGTGAAACTCCGTCAAAAAAAAAAAAAAAAAAAAAAGACTACTCTAACTGCATAGTAGATAAGATGGCCCAGGAGGTGTGTAGAGAATAAGGAAAGGCCTAGACAAAACACCACCATCAACAACAAAATTAAGTGACAGGCAGAAAAGGAACCCACAAAAGAAACAGAGAAGAAGGGACCACAGGGGTTGAAGGAAAACCAAGAGAATGGCAACCCCATGCCAAAGGAAGAAAATTTCAAGAAGCAGGGCATAATTAGAGTCAATTGCTGCCAAGAGGAGAAGAGAGCAATTGGAAACTAACAGCTGAATTTTCCAATGGGATTATTGACAACCTTGTTGAAAGCAGCTTTAGAGTGGAAGTTCTATTGCATTGGATTAAGTCAATTGTATCAGTGCTCATCTATCCCCTTCAATTACCATCTATCACTACACTGATGTCTTCCAAATGTATATCTTAAGTCCAGACCATCCCTTTAAAGTCTACGCCCATATACAATTGACTACTCAATATCTCCACTTGATTGGTTCAAAGATATCTCAAACCCAGGTTTCAAAACCAACAATCGCTCCACCCAAACCTGGTCTCCCTATAGTATTTTTCTTCTCAGCAAAGAGTAGCTCCATTATTCCAGTTGCACAACCCATCCTTGACTAACCCTTTTTCCTCACCACCACCCCTATATCTAGCCCATCACCACATCTGGTCAATTCTTTCTACTTGTGCACTCTATCTCTACTGCCAGCATCTAAGTTCAAGCTACCGTCTTCTCTCTCACCCTACCCACAGTGGTAGCCTCCTAACTGGTTTCTCACACCAATCTTTGCACCTCTCCATAGCAGCTAGAGTAATCTTTTTAAAATACAAAGTTGATCCTATCACTTCCTTATTTCAACCTTTCAATAGGCTCCCAGGCCTCCAAAGGTGAAAATCAAATTATTTAAATGACATAAAAAGCTCTACATGACCTAGCCTTTGCCTATCTCCCCAGTCAGAATTCTCTACACATTCCCTCTTCCCCTCTATTTTTCCTGCACCCTGGTCTTTTCTCCATTTCTTTTGTTTGGTTTTGATTGCTTTGTTTTTTGAGACAGTCTCGCTCTGTCACCCAGGCTGGAGTACAGTGGCACGATCTCAGCTCACTGCAGCCTCCACTTCCTGGGCTCAAGCAATTCTGCCTCAGCCACCTGAGTAGCTGGGATTACGGGTGTCTGCCACCACGCCCAGCTAATTTTTGTATTTTTAGTAGAGATGGGGTTTCACCGTATTGGCCAGGCTAGTCTCGAACTCCTGACCTTAGGTGATCCTCCCGCCTCAGCCTTCCAAAGTGCTGGGATTACAGACGTGAGCCACTGTGCCCAGCCTCTTTTCTCCATTTCTTATGTATACACCATGTGTCCTGCAACATCAGGCCTGTTAGCCGTACACTCCGTGGCTAAGAATATGAGTTCAACGGTCAGATTGGGTTAAAATCCCAGCTCTACCCTTGCCTGGTTTGATGACCCTGGGTAAGGTACTTAATCTCTCAATGTCCCCATTTCCTCATCTGTGAAATGGGGTTAACACTTATCTCTCAGAATTATAAAGGATTAAATGAAATGATATTTGTAAAGTATTAGAAATACAGTTCCATATTAATGTTAGCAACAGCTATTATTATTCCCCATTCTCTGTCTAGTTAATGCTTCTCATATTTCAGATCTCATCTCAAGTGATCTGAGGTTATGACTCTGTTCAATTCTCTCTTAGCATCCTGAATTTTTCCTTCATAACACTCATTATACTTTGTGGTTATATATCTGATGGGTTATTTTATTAATGTCTGTCAATCCCACCAGTGGCTCCTTCAGGAGAATACAGACTGTATCCATTTTACTCCTCATTATATCCCCAGATCCCAGCACAGTGCCTAGCATATAATAAGCCGTATAGTTTTTGCATAAATATTTGATTGAACAGGGGCGAGGAAGTGAAGCCAATGAGTGCAAATGACTCAGGAAGACTGTGAACATACAGGGCAAGGGGAATGCATGGAGTGAATCAGGGTTTCTTGATTATTTTTTTAAGCTGGCAAATGCTTGAGCATGTTTAAATGCGGATGGAAAGGAGCCAGCAGAGAGAAAGCCCAGTAGGAGTGAGGGCCATGAACCTGCAGGAGGGGATGAGACTTAGCATAGGAGCCAGAAGAATCCAATCTGTCTTAGGTGGAAGGAGGGACAACTCTTCCCTGGTATAGAAATAAGAGCTGATAATTCAGCTACATATGTATGTTTGGTGGGCAGAGCCAAGACCTTTCCATGAATCTTGGTAATGTAAGCAGCAAATGTAGATTCTCTGAGAAGCTCAACAAACTTGGTGGACATCATTCCATTTGTTCTTGCAACTCAAGTAAGAAGGAAGCAGATGTTTTCTTCGTTATTGACTGCACTGGTTCACTACAGAGCAAAATAACAAGTTTCCAAAGCAACCCAGTCACAGAGCTGAGATAGGCAATCTCACTGTTCTCTTTATTGAGCATGCTTCCTCTCCAAACTGGGAAACAGTATGGGAAATAATACAGTAAAATCATAATGGCTGACACTGGTTACATGCTTCCTATGTGCTGGGCACTGTTTCTATACCTGCAATAACTCATTTGATGTTCCCCACATTATGATACCACTTTACATGTATGGAAACTGAATCCTAGGGAGGTGAGTAACTTGCCCAAGGTCATACGGTGAGTGGGTGGCAAAACCCAAGGAGTTTTAAACCCAAGGAGTATGACTCCAAAATGAATGCTTTTAACCATTCTGCTATACTCCCTGTCTAGCAGAGAGGAAAGAACATATTGGGAATTCGAAGACCTGGAGTTTCTACCATGAACTAATTCTGTGAACTTGTACATTCACTTAGGTGTCTGAACATCGGACTGCTCATCAATAGGATAAGAATTAGAATGTTTATCTTACAAGGTTTCTTGAAGGATTATGAAATGCTGAAAATAGGAAATAACTCTACAAAAGATATTATTTTGCTAATCATAATGTTTAATATCCTTGACTTCTAATTGGGTCACAATATTATAGACTGTCATTGAGACCCTCAGTTCCCATAACCAGTGCAGCAGCAGCAGCTTGGTGATTCCAGTTCCTTTGGCAGGGCAGCTGATTCTCATCCCATCGGCTTTAATGTCCCGACCAAGTCTCCCTGATGACAGTCATGCACAGGTTGGTGCCTCCTTCCCCCTGAACCACGTATTCCTACTTCTGGGAAGAGTTGCAGCTTATGCCCTTGTTTCTTTAATGCACTGCCTGAAAAAGTGGCTATTAAAAATAATAATAATAGGGCCGGGCGCGGTGGCTCAAGCCTGTAATCCCAGCACTTTGGGAGGCCGAGGCGGGTGGATCACAAGGTCAAGAGATCGAGACCATCCTGGTCAACATGGTGAAACCCCGTCTCTACTAAAAATATAAAAAATTAGCTGGGCATGGTGGTGCGTGCCTGTAATCCCAGCTACTCAGGAGGCTGAGGCAGGAGAATTGCCTGAACCCGGGAGGCGGAGGTTGCGGTGAGTCGAGATCGTGCCATTGCACTCCAGCCTGGGTAACGTGAGTGAAACTCTGTCTCAAAAAAAAAATAAATTAATTAATTAATAATAATAATAATAAATAGCCTCAGGCCAGGCTTGGGGGCTCATCCCTGTAATCCTAGCATTTTGGGAGGCTGAGGTGGGCGGATCACCTGAGGTCAGGAGTTCAAGACCAGCCTAGCTAACGTGGCAAAACCCCGTCTAAATCAGTCATGATTTACCTTCCACTTGGCTCGGAAAGAAAAATACAAAAATTAGCCAGGGATAGTGGCGTGCACCTGTAATCCCAGCTACCAGGGAGGCTGAGGCAGAGGTTGCAGTGAGCCGAGACTGTGCCACTGCAGTCCAGCCTGGGAGAGAGCAAGACTCCATCTCAAAATAATAATAACAGCCTCAAGTGCAGCTAACTGTGAGGTACACACCAGAAGGCCAAGTTCCAGTTTCGTGGTAGAAGCACAGGTATCAGAGCTAGGAGAGAACTTTAAAGTAATCTTTCATTGCAACTCTCCAACCCTCCTCCCAACCCATTTTATAGACTAGGAAAACCAAGGCAAGCTAGATGAGATGACACTACTAGTTAGGGTTGTCAAAACCATATCTGGAAAGTACTTCAATTGCATATATTTGTTTCAGTATGCATACCTTTTCAGAAAGGAGCAAAATCCTAAATTACCCATAAAGCTATTATAAAAACTGCAATAAATAGAAAAAAAACTTCAGTCCAATAATTCATTCAAAACCCATTCTTTGAGTGCCCTTACTTGCCCATTTCAGGCATTCCCTGGATAGAAACGAGCCCACATCTTCAGGGGCAGTACATAACCTGACCGCTCTGTACAAAGCCTACTCTGTTACCACTGGTTCATCTCTGAGCTGAGTTTTCTAATCTGGAAAAACAGCACCTACTTCTCAGAGCTGGAGTGGGGGTGGGAGTGTCACATGAGATGATGCGCTTTTAGCACCCACCTGGCACTCTGTGAGTTTGTCATGATTTGGGCATAATCCCTTCCTCTCCTAAGAAGGCAGCAAGCAGTTCACCTTGGTTAAGGACCTTAGACCTTAGACTACTCAGACGCTAACAAACCAAGGAGAAACCCAGCGTGTCAGGCCTAGAAATGTCCGCCCCCACCCCCACCCCCCTCAAGACGGTGACTAGGCCGGAATTCTCCCGGTTGATAAATGAGAGGAGCTGAGAAGCGCTGAGATGCCTGTTCCGAGCATCTGATCCGCAGAAGGCGAATCTCCACTGTGCCATGGAGATGTTCTGGGAGGGAGAGCCGGCCCAGCTGCCTGAAGGAGGACGCGAGAGCAAGGGGACCGGTGAGAGGAATGCTTAGGGGAGACGGACTGGAGGTGCCCGGAGAGGAAATCTTGAAAAGGGGAAAAGAGGCTGGATCTCGGGAAACCTCGTTGGCGGTATCACTAGAGGAAGGATCGCGTGTCTCAGGGATACGGATTTTAGAGGAAAAGCAGAATAGGGACAAAGGTGAGTTGTCCGCACTGGGGAGACCAAGCCCTATAAGCTGTGGTGGGGACCCGGGGCCAGCGAGGACCAGAAGGCAGGGTTTTGGGGGAACCCGCACGGAAGGTGGCTGGGGGTCGGTAGCCGGCCTCGGAGTTGCAGCCGCGTTCGCCCCGGGGCAGGTCAGCGACCCCGGGCCGGGAGCGAGGGGGAGCACCACGAGGGGCCGTGGTTGCCATGGCGCCGGGAGGGGAAGGGGCGACTTGGGCCCCTCCCCGAGCCCCGCGGGGCTGCCGGCTCCAGATGGTCCGGGGCCTCCCGCGGGAGCCGGCGGCCTGCGGCAGGGGGAGGCTATTGTCCTCCTTCCGCGGCGCCGCAGTCCCGCCGCTCGCGCCCGCGCGCCGCCGCCGCCGCCGCCGCCGCCGCCGCCGCTCGCCCCGCGCGCCCCCCGCGCCGCCCGCGCCCCGTGACAGCGCCCGCCCGCCATCCGCCGTGCGCCCGGCCACTGCCAGCAAACGCCCCTCGCAGTCGGGCTGCGGGCGCGGCAACCACCGGTGCGCCCCCGCCCGCCGCACCCACGCTCCGCGCTGAGGTAGGTGCCGGCGCCCCCGCCCGCTTTGTCCCAGCCCGCGGGGCGGCGCTTTTTGTGCGGCCGCGTGCGGGCGGCGGGGTCGGGGTCGGGGTCGGGGTCGGGTCCCAGCGGCCGGGGTGAGCCGGGGCGGGAGCAGGCGGGGACGGGACGGAGAGGGTTCCGTGCCAGCCAGGCACAGGTACCGGGGTGAGGGCGGTGGGGGCCGAGGCCGGGGGACTCGGGCGTCTCTGGAGCGGGGAGAAGAGTCTGGAACAGCTGGGGCTGACGGACGCGTTCGCGGCCAGGCTGGGAGCGGGTCTGACAGTGCCAGTCGCTCGCGTCGCCTGGGCTGCGAGGAGGACGGGCCGGCGCCGGGTCAGGTGCTGGGGGCGCGCTCGGCCACCTTGCCCGGCTACTGCGGGCGCCCGGCTCCCTCCTCCCGAGAGCTGCGTGGGCTCCTCCTCGCCTCTTTGGCAGCTGGCTCCACGCTCTCCCTTCTGTTCCCCCTCAGTGTGTGGGAGAGGGGCACGCGGTTGCCTGTGGTGGCCGGAACTGGCCCGGGGAGAACGCAGACGCTTCGTGGGGTGGGGGAGCGGCCGCGTGCGGCGTTTCTGTGGCTGGGACGCTGATGGGCCGTGCAGTCCGCCCCACACGGAACTACCCGGCAAGGCCTGCCCGCGGGAGTGTTCCAGCTCCGGCGCCACAGTCGTGATTTACCTTCCACTCGGCTCGGAACTTTACCCCATTGACCCGAGGACATTGCATGCTTGTGTGAGCTGCAGGCTTGCCCCGGTCTTAACCTGCTACACGTCTGCCAGAGTTGTTTCTCGTCTGCCCTCTCCCTCTCGGAGCAGCCACAGTTCCAACGCTGGAGAGCCCGGAGGTTTCAGGCATGGGCAGAGGTAGCCACAAACCAGTTTTCCTTGAAGGTGAAGAGGGCAGAGTGAGTTCCAAATATGCGTTTTAGCTTGAGGTGTGGGACAAACTCTTGGCATATTCAGAAGGGCGAAGGATGGAGTTTAGATTCTTCCCTTAGAGAAACTGATGTGACCCCAGGCTTGGGGAAGGGAGGTGGCAAGGGAGTGAAGAATTTGAATATTTGAATGAATCTGCCATAACTGGAGGATTCCAAAGGAGAAAATAAAAGTTCAGCCCAGTTCCTAAATTCCTCCGAGGGAATTGATCAGGAACACAGTCTGGGAGGTGGGTGGGGGTTTTCCTCTTCCTGCCTTCTCCGGTTCTCTGCCCTGGGCCCCTTTCTCTTGCTTTCCTGGGAGCCCTGAGCTGATTTGTGACTTCTTTTTTCCTTTTCTCTCTCTGCTAGTCCACCCATTTATACTTAGAAGCAAATAAGATTTTTACTTTGCCAAAGTCCCCATTTCTTCTAATCTATTATTCATCTCGCTGTCATTTATTCAACTCTGCCTTCTCATGACTTCTTTAGCGCCGGCTCGGACATCTGCGGTTCGCTGTTGGGGCATCAGCACTGTTTCTTTCAATAGCTCTGGCACCTACTCCATCTTCATCTTCCTCTCTCATGGCCTGAGCTCCCAAGGGGAAGTGACATTTGAGTTTAGTATGGGGTAAGGCCTGACCTCGAAGCTAACCCTGGGTCACATTCACCCCTGAAACTTTGTGTCTTCTTAGTCCTCATGGCTCTTCTAACCACTTCCAGCTGCTTCTCATCTCTGGACAAGGGTGGCCCTCACAGTGTGGTCCCCAGACCAGTAGCTGCGGTGTTTAGAATGTGGATTTCTGACCAGAAACAGGTTAGAAATGCACATTCCCAGGCACCACCCCAGAACTACTGAATCAGAAACTAGGGGGTGGGGGAGCGACCAGTGATTTAACAGTCCTCCAGGTTGTTGTGATTCATGGAGGTTTGAGAATCCCTGGTCTTGTGCTGTTCCACTTAACCCTGAAAGTACTCCAGCCGAGGAGCTGGTCTTCTCCCATCCCATGTTCATTCTTTCCTTGAGCTTCTCTCTAGTCCTAAGAAAGACATTAATTCGATGGCCCCAAAACTGAATTATAGTCAAGTCATTCAGTATCTCTTGATTGAATATCTATTGTACTGAGTCTGGAAAAACACCAAAAGAAGTGAGACAGCCCTTGTCCTCATGAGTTAAATGTGGAGCGGGCAGAGAGACATGTAAACAAGTAATGGTAATGCGATGTGATAAGTACAATACTAGATGCATGCCGAGGTGCCCCGGGAGCACAGAGGAGGGAATGATCATCTCTGAGGGAAGAGAAAGAATTCATCAGGAGCAGGATGTGGTGAGAGGAGGAATTTGGGTACAAGACAGCCTCTAGCCCAGGGTATAGGATTTCTAGCTTAACATGTCAGCTGAAAGAGAGGAAAGCTGCCTGGGAGGATCAGCACGCGTGGGCCCAGTCGGCCTCCAGCAGCGCCTGGCGTCGATTCCAGCAGGACCCCAAGCCTGCAGCTGGCAGGAGTTGGCATTATTCTAGCACTAACGGTGTAAGCTACTTGGGCCTGGCCTTGAGGTCAATGGCTAAGAATAAGGTATGATGAGACTGTAATCTGGATTAGCTACTGCACTGCCCTATTGCCAGACTTCAGGAATCCGAGGAACAGAGGACAATTGAGGATTCTCTGGCTTCAAGAGAGGCAGGGGGTCATGAAGCTGGGGGCTGCTGGCAGACTGAGGAAGTGTGAGCATGGAGACCCAGGTCATAGGTGAGGAATGATCTACTCAGTGGCAAGAAACCAGCGCTGGATCTGAGCAGGAGACACACAAATAGAAATCAGTGGGAATCTAGAGATGGCTGCAGGGGACACAAGCTGAGAACACAGCATATTGTCCAAAAGGCCAGGGAGCTGCAGAGCCAGAATGCTCGGAAACCAAGACCTAGAGACACAGAGATAGCAGAGTCTCAGAGCCACATGCTGAACAATGTCAGAGAGCCCCATTCACATGGAAGGCCGTGGGAACAAACCCCCTGGAGTCTCAACATGGTGGCCCTGTAGGGATCTGAGATCTAAGGACACCAGTGCCAGCTTGGTTCCTTATACATATCACGGCATTCTGGAAACTCAGGACACACTGCATGTATGCTTCAAACTCAGTTTGGGGAGAGGAGCATTTAAGTGGCTGAGTTTTTATTTGGGGGAAGGGGAGGTTCTAGCTCCATACTTTCTCCTGCTAATGATAGGAATCCATAGAGACATTCTAACAGTTGGACTTCCCTGGAGGGTCTTGCCCCCAATTAGACCCCTTTGTAACTTTAACAAAACCCCCAATTCTGCATTTCTCCTGAGCCCTACTTCCTAGGACCAGAGCTGTGGTCTTGGTAGTTTCTGGTTGTGGAAAGGAAGGAGGTATGGAGAAGAGAGAAGTGATGGGTGGTGAGGCTTGGGTTGGTAGGGAGGTGTGTGCCCATGGGCATAGGAAGGCAGAACCTGGCTTGCATCATTCACTGGTTCCATGAAGCTGAACCTGACCTGCTTGAAGGCCAGGGTTGTCTCCCCCTTCCCTTAGGAGGACCAAGTTGGATCCCCAAAAATAAGCCAAAGCAGTCATGTTTAGGTTCTGTGCAGCTTACAGGGGCCTCAGAGATACTGTAGTTTGGAGACAGGGTCAGATGGTTAGCTTCTTTGAGTTTCTGCTCTTTGTGAAATACAAAGATAGGAGGCAGGGTGTGCAAACCTCAGCATTTAGGGCCAGGCAGGTAACATAGATAAGTGAAGTGGCTGGGCCTGTAGAGAGATAGTGCAGACCCACATAAGGAATCCAAAATCAGTCTTTTTTTTTTTTTTTTTGAGATAAGTTTCACTCTGTGGCCCAGGCTGGAGTGTGGTGGCGCAATCTCAGCTCACTGCAACCTCCGCCTCCTGGGTTCAAGCAATTTTCCTGCCTCAGCCTCCTGAGTAGCTGGGACAACAAGAACCTGCTACCATGCCCAGCTGATTTTTTGTATTTTTAATAGAAACAACGTTTTGCCTTATTGGTCAGGCTGCTCACGAACTNTAAGTTTCACTCTGTGGCCCAGGCTGGAGTGCAGTGGCGCAATCTCAGCTCACTGCAGCCTCCTTCTCCCAGGTTCAAGCAATTTGCCTGTCTCAGCCTCTTGAGTAACTGGGACAACAAGAACCTGCTACCATGCCCAGCTGATTTTTTGTATTTTTAATAGAAACAACGTTTTGCCTTATTGGTCAGGCTGCTCACGAACTCTTGACCTCAGGTGATCCACCCGCCTTGACCTTCCAAAGTACTGGGATTACAGACGTGAGCCTCCGCACCTGGCCAAAAAGTCAGTCATTTAAAAATAGCTTATTGGCCCAGCAAAACACTCCTGGGGGCTAGCCTTGGTAAGTTTGTGACTCCTGGTAAAAGAAAAAGGGGTCATGGAAACCGAAGTGGGAGCAGGGCGGGACTTAGGTGTAGGCGTTTTTGTGGGCAGGTCTGTGCAGGAAGAGTTTGTGTGCTGGCAATATCCATCTCAGAGCTGAGCGTAAGTGTGGCTGCCGGTTAGGAAGCACTAATCTGAGGAAATGGAATTAGACTTGGTCCTGAGGTGTGGACTACTTTCCCATCTAGCAGCTGAGAGTATTAGATGACTAGTTCAGGTCATGCCTTGCCCGCAGCACTCTTTGCTCAGGGTGATTCAACTCTGCCCTAGAATGTATTTTTATATAAATATTTACAGAACAAATCCAGAGAATCTGTGGGGAGAAATGGTGGATTTTGAATGAGAAGAGTCCCAGGGTTAGTAGAAATTAAGCTCCCTTTCCTTCTACAGGGAATTAAAGGCCAAATCTACAAACCTTAGACCTTAGCTCCCTTGCAGCTCATTAATGCTCCTCCCAAGAAAAATCCTTGCACACATTTTCTCTTTAGGAGAAAGGGGAGGGGCACACAACCCTGGACTTCAAGCAGGTCAGGTTCAGCTTCATGGAACCAGTTAATGATGGAAGCCAAGTTCTGCCTTTGTGTGCCCATGGGTCTCACCACCTACCTGAGTCTCACCAACCAACCCATCACTTCACTTTTCTCCATACCTCCTTCCTTTCCAGAACCAGAGACTGCCAAGACTGCAGCCCTGGTTCTAGGAAGTCGGGCTGGGAAGAAATGTAGAATTGGGGGTTTTGTCAAAGTTACAGACCCAGTCCCCTCCTCTCTCTCTTGAATGGCTGCTGAATGCTGAATTACACAAGAACTTTGGACAGTAGAGGATTTTTTTTTTTTTTTTTTTTAATCCACAGCAGCTATTCTGAACCTCATTTGTTAGTTTTGAGGACAGAGTGTGTTTGCGTAAGTTAGAGCCGGAAGTAGTGCTGGTGCTGGTGAGCCTGCGTGGTCCACATTTCCCCAGCCTGGGCCCTAGACGGGAGCCATGGGATGAGTACTAAAGGCCTCCAGGATGGTTGAGCGAATGGTGTATGTTCTCTGTCCAAGAGGCTGCAATTAAGAACATGTCTCCCAGAGTCAAAAAGAACTTTTCAAAACCCAGCACTGTTCCTTCCAGCTGTGTGACCTCAGTAACTTAATGTCTTTTTCTTTTTTTCCGAGGTGGAGTCTCACTCTGTCTCTCTCAGGCTGGAGTGGAGTGGCACAATCTTAACTCACTGCAGCCTCTGCCTCCCGGGTTCAAGCGATTCTCCTGTCCCAGCCTCCCAAAGTGCTGGGATTACAGGCATGAGCCAGTGCGCCTGGCCAGCTTAATGTCTTTTGTGCCACTTCCTCATCTGTAAAACAGAGACGACAGTGGGCTCTCACCCCATAGGAAGTTATGGTGGGATGATGCATGTCAATGGCAGGCACATGTCACTGCCGACATTTATTATTACTGACATTCTCTCTGGCAAACCAAAGGAAACAAAGGGGAGAGTACCGTACTATGTCCTCCTCTGAACTCCTGGGCACTTGCCAAACAGTGCCTCAATCTTCCTGGTGTATCCATACTTGCCAAACAGTGCATCAGTCTTACTGGTGTATCATAGCTTTCTCTTAGCTCAAGAGCAGAATCTGGGTCTTTTCATTTCAAATTGCCTACATGGTATAGGAGGCCATCTTGGGCTGATCAGGGACTCGGGACAGTTTGTACTGGTCATTATTGCCCAAGGGGCCTCATATGTGCTGCCTGCATTACCCTGGGCTGCACACTGCTGTCTGAAACACTAAAGCCCGTCACCCCTTTCAGCACTCCCCCAACCTCTCCCTCTCTGGCCTGAGGCCCTTGGATCCTTTCCTGCCCACTGCATTGCTCCGAGCTTCCTTCCTGCTTCACTTTCTGTGCCTCTGAGGCATTCCTGTCCCCAGGCTTCTCCAATGTCTTCCCCTCTCCCCCTGGGGGCTGATTTCCACCAGGCAACCAACCACAGCCTCTGGCCACAAGGAGAGCAGGGCACAGGTAGGGCAGGAAAACAGAAGGATCTGGTGGTGGGGGGAGGGCTTAGTGGTCCCTGGACACCCCTCACCAGCCACATTCTCCTTGCAGGAGCAGGAAGCCACCTACCACCATGAGCAGCACTCTGTCACCCACAGACTTTGACAGCTTGGAGATCCAGGGCCAGTACAGTGACATCAACAACCGCTGGGACCTTCCTGACTCGGACTGGGACAATGACAGCAGCTCGGCCCGCCTCTTTGAGAGGTCACGCATTAAGGCCCTGGCAGGTGAGGTTAGGGGACGGCCGGGGTGGTGGGGATGCTGGAGGAGGCTCTGTCAGCTTGTTATGAAGAGCTCTTTAACTTTATGGGAAGACTGACTTTTCTTTCTAAGCGAGAGACCCAGAGCACCCTATCAAGTCCCCGGTCCCCAAATCCAGCCTCAAGAACAGCCTTCCTGCCATTCAGAACCTTCCTCAGCCCCTCCCTGCAAGCATAGAGACGCTACACTGACTCCTGTACTGGCGGAGCTGACTAAAACAGCTTCCATCTCTGGCCTCAGCCCCCGGGTCATGTCCCTTCATTTTTCTGCACTCTCACTCTTGCCACTCCTGTCTCCGCCCACCTCTCCCTTACCTTTCATGCCCTTGTTATGTCTTCCTTGATTTCCACTGTCATTTCCCACACCTGTTCCCAGCCTATTATCCCTCCTCTCCTTCCCCACCTGTTCCTTCCACCTGCCGCCTGTTACTCCCATTATTTCATCTGCATGTTCCCTGAAGCAGGTTCCCTCCACCGGCTGCTGTTCCGCAGCTGCTGCCTTTTCTCCCAGGTGTGCTCACTGCCTGCCTTGGCCCCTACCCTTCCCTTCGGCCTAGGGCCTGGGGCCTGGGCTGTCCTGCTCTGAGCAGAAACCCGTCCGACGGCCTCCCTGTCTTCCGGGGGAGGAGTTGTCATGGCAACAAGAGTGCGGCTGCCACCTGACACCACCAGTGGCTGGCGTGGGGCTGAGTCACGCACACACCCCAAGGCCACCCACCCCGTCTGGCTTCCTCCTCCATCCCACCCTTGTCATTGCTATTAACCTCCCGGCCACCCAGCCCAGCCAAGCCCAGTCTGAGAGGCCCCACCTACTCTCACCGAGAAGTGGTGCTCCCAATGGCGATGGGGTTGGTCCCTACAAGAGGAGAGACTCAAAGGGGGAGGTTCCCAAATCTGCCCACATGTTTTACAGGATCACCTGGGGATGTTTTTCACAAATACAGGTTTCCAAGCCCCTCCCTAGACACAGTGAGTTAGAATCTTGGTCCAGAACTCAGGATTTTTCAAAAGCTCCCCAAGTGATTCTTTTGAGCCAGCTCAGCACCAGTCTGAGGACCCCCTTGTGGCAGCCATAGCTTCCCCAGACCCTTTCTCATTTTTTCCTGGGCCTCTCTGTCCTTCTGGTTGGGTCTTCAGGCCAGCTGTGAAACACTCCTTTCAGTGTGTCTATAGATCAGAGAAGACAGAAGGTGTGGGTTGTGGAGAATGTCATGTCTTTGGAGGAAGTGTTCCTGGCACCCTGGTTTTGGATTCATAGCCTCTAGAACTGTCATGATGCCTATGTGTGTACAACATGTGCCACCCATCATGTCTGCACATGTGACAAGTGCCACCTGGGATTATCATCATGCCTGGGCACAGGACACATGCCTCCCAGGACTGTCACCATGCCTGTGTACATGGGACACATGCCACCCAGGACTGTCACCATGCCTGTGTGCATGGGACACATGCCACCCAGGACTGTCACCAGGCCTGTGTACATGGGACACATGCCACCCACGACTGTCACCATGCCTGTGTACATGGGGCACATGCCACCCACGACTGTCACCGTGTCTGGTTGCATATAACACGTGCTACCCAGGACTGTCACCTTGTCTGGTTGCATATAACACGTGCCACCCAGGACTGTCACCAGGTCTGTGCACACATCTGTGCCACCTCGTGCTCTCATTGGGTGTTTATCTCCACCACTAAACTGGGCTCTCGAAGAGGCAGCTCTGCATGGGCTTTGCCTAGCACTGTGCCTCCAACCAGTAGGTATCAAATAAACACTGAATGAATGAAAATGGGGAAGAGCAAGTGTAGGCTGCACATGACAAGCGCTGAAGCCCAGGGTGAGGTAGAACGGCACCTGGCAGATGTGCCTAGCAGCAGGGTGTCTGGGGGCCAGGATGGCCTGGTAGAGGAGGGCCCTGGTGGACTGGAGGGCAGGGCAGGGGCTGGCACTGGAGGTAGTGATAAACAAGTGGAAAGGATGGTAACAGTGCCCATTTCACAGGCGAGGGAGTGAAAGAAAATGCCTCACACAGTGCCTGGCTTTTCCTCTTCAAGGATCTCCTCGTTTCCAGATTTCTCTTTGTCTGTTTCTGAGCTGGGACTCAAAGCCCACAGGTTCTGGAGAATAACCTCCCAGTCTGCCAGAGTGAGGTTGCCCTCAACATACCTGCAAACCTTTGGGAAACAGGAGTTTGTACTGGGGGGCCCCTCGTGGGTCTTGTATATTCTTAAGTAACTTGGGGCTTGATGGGTGGGTGTCGGAGGCACTCCAATGCCCTCCGCTGCCGCCCCGCAGGGCCTGGCCCCGCCCACGCTGGCCACGCTCCGCCTCCCTCCCCTCCCCAACACCGTCCAACCTGTTTGTCTGGAGCTGCCTCCCGTCTCCTCTCGCCACAGCCAGGTGTGCCCCACTCACTGTCTCAGGAGCTTGGGACATCCCGTAACTCTTTTTGCAACTCCTTGAAATTCCCACCATTCCCAAATTCTGACCCTGGACTCCAGCCTGAGGTCCCACTGGGGAACAGAAACTGGCCCTCTGCCGGCAGGGAGCATGGACTCTGGGCCCTGGGTTCTGTAGCCAGCAGCTGGCAGCATGAATGGGAACGGAGTGAGCAGGGTGCATGGGAACGGAGTGAGCAGGGTGCATGGGAACGGCCTGCACGGGGCCAGCGAATTTTATTATGAGGCTGTGGAAGGGGCCCAGAATCCCGGGGGCCTCCTGCTCTCACCAGCTGCTTTCATCAACCCTGCTCAGTATGCCAGTGTGCTGGAAGGACGCTTCAAACAGCTGCAAGGTGAGGCCCAAGGCCCCTGTGGGGGCTGCTGAACCTGGGTGAGAGGGATCTGGGTGTGAGGAGAGTGGCCAGAGCTGAGGACTCTGCATGGGACACGGTGTGACGCCAATGTTTGTGTTGGGAGACAACGTGATACAGCTTAGAGGGGATAATTACAAGAGGCCGGAAAATACACAGATGTCAACAGAATGGGGAAAGGCTTGGACCCGCTGGCAGGGGCTGTGTATGATGGCGTGGGTGGGTGTGACTGCTGGGCCTCGAAGTGCTGTGTGGAGCAAAGGCAACCAGCCATAGGGGGCGCGGGGGCACCAGCACTGGAGAGGCCCCAGCAGTGCCTCTGAGGCGGATCTGGATCTGCTGGTAGAGCACCCGCCAGGGCAGTTAGGGGAGGAGGAGGGGTGAGCCAGGCCCAGGGACCTGGAGATGGTGTTTTCTGGGCTTCTGAGCAGACATCTGAATGTGTGCAAGGAGACAGTGTGTCTGGAAGAAGAGAGGAATGTCTCGAAGGAGAGAGGATTTGTGCAAACAGGCCCAGGTAGATGTCTGAGCAGGCGTGTGTTCACTCTGGCACAAGCACTTAGGTGTGTTTCTGGGAGTCACTGTTGTGTGTGTGTGTAAGGATCTAGGGATGCTGTGGACGTCTTGTGATGTGACACTTTGTTTCTGGTGCTTGGCTTTGCCCATTGTCCTTCTAGCTGCCACTACTTCTGTGTCTTCTGCCTGTGTGCCAAAATGGCCTCACCTCAGGGTCCCCAGCTGCAGGGCAGTCCCCTGGATCTAGCAATGGCCTGTGTGCTAGGCCTCTCCGCACCGCCCCCCCGCCCCGCTCAGACCTGCCAGGAAGCACCAAGGCTCCCTTGGTTTCACGGGTGCTGGGGAGCATGAGGCTGTCCCATGTCATTGTTAGGACCCCAGGTTTGGTGCCAGTACAGTGGCTGGAGGTAAGAGACAGGGAGTGACATGGGTGTGTTGCTGTGTCTTATGGGTGAGGTGCTTAGGAATGTAAGATTAAGGGATGAGTCTTTCTGGTTTCTGAGATGCTGTTGCTGAGATGGGAGCAAAAGTGATTCTTCAGACCCCAGCCACATGGGTTGGGTCCTTGCACAGGGCTCTCTGTGGGGAAGTGGCAGAAATTCTCATTACCAGAGCAGCTTCTGATGCCTTCACTTTGTCACTTAGAATATTCTTAATTTTTCTTTTTCTTTTTTTTTTTTTTTTT